ATAAGTAATGCGACGCTATTATGAAAAAGAACATATCCTCTTGGTTGAAGAATATAAAAGCAATATTCAAAAAATATGCTGTCCTAAAAATATTTCAATGGTTCTGTGTCGCCAAACCTCTCTCAAGAAACTAATCGACAATAAAAACATATTTAAACTGTTAAATTTTTAATTTATCAACAGTTGGCAACAATTGTTTTGAAATTCTACGAAGCAATCAATTTTCAGAAACATATTGCGAGTATCAAAAAATGATATATTTATTATCAACAATGATTTAATTCATTTGGAACCATTTTTTTTTTTTCGTTTAAAATATTTTTAACTGCTCATTTATCCATAGATCTAAATTTGAACAGTCTGAAAAAATTGAAAAAAAGTTTTTTAATATGTCTTTTGGCGATAACTTTATTGTTATGCCTTTGCTACACCAAGTATAAATTCAGTAAGTGAATACAACTTATGACAAAAATGCATACAAACGATGAACCTTCGTTGTTTTGCTCTTGCAATTTTTTTTATGGTGTCTTTAATAAAAACTATAAGATCTAATGTTATATAAATCCTTGTGATATAAATTAGTTTAAAAGTTGTCATATTTTTATTTTACCTGTATTGTAAATTCATAAAAATTAATCTTCTCGATAACATGTTTATATAGAGTTTTGTTCATAAAAGTTGAAAAAATACATAATGGTTATATTATTGTTCTATCAAAGTCTTGTATAACGTATTTTTATGAAATATTTTTTGCTGATATTATTATTATGATATGATATATTGTTCGTTTTTCAAACTATGGAATCAGATATAGTATTTAAACTGTGGAAACATGTCATTTAAGTTTGCTATCGTTAAATTTATGAATAAGCGATGTGTAGCCATTTTCCCAATGTGGTGGTTTCTCAAGAGAAGAAGAAGAAGAAGAAGAAGAAGAAGAAGAAGAAGAAGAAGAAGAAGAAGAAGAGTGTTTTTGCCTTCTCAAAAAAGCAGAAGTAAACTAAAGAAGCTTGTTAGTGAACAGTGTAAACAATTGGCAACTTGGCCAAAGTTTTTTGTTACAGTTCTGGGATGAGCAGGTATAATATAAAATTATTGTAAACATATTTTACGTTTCCATTAACTTGTTTGATACTAATGTAGAACTGTACAAAAATTTGATAAAACTAGTTGATATCAATTTTTGGCTAGATATTTCAGCAACTTTTGAATGGGCAGAAGGAAAGATGATAAAAGCTTTGAATCAATCAGATATAGAATTTCAACTGCGCACAACTGACCCAGATACTCAAGCTTATGAATTAACCTCGAAGACAAATAAACATGGTACTAAAATTTTGTTGTTTCCTTAATATATCACACATTAAATCATAACTATATTTTGAATATTTTGAATATATTTTCTCATTTTTTAACATGCACTTCTAATTCTCCTGGTGTTTTTTTTGTTACCTACGTTTTACTTGCCATCTTCAATATGCCTTCTACAAGCTCAACCAGTCAATGCAAGTTAGCTGCTCATGACGCGACTTTTATTTCTGTAGGTGAAGTTGTTCCTGATAATGGCTAAGGTTAAAATAGTATTAGATGTATTGGAAATCATAGTTTTATTTATTAAGTTTCTAAGCTGTATTCTGTACTAAATGGTCTATATACTTCTGTATGATGTATTTTTGCATGTTTTATAACTTATTCAATGAAAAAAATATCTTTCAAAATGCCAGTGTGTTAAGCTTATCATCATTGCTGATTCATTGGCATCTATATTTTCTGTAGGTGACAATGATTTTGTTTAAAATGTTTATCATTAATAATACCTTAGAGATTGCTTTTATAATTTTTAATTTTGGCAGAATTAGCAGGGTTAAAAGCGGTATCTAATTTTTTTAATTGCTCTGTTAATTTTTTTTGGTAAGCTGCAATTTGAGACCATATATGGAAGCCATTCTCAAAACTGTACAAGAAATTAAAGTCACACAGAATATTCATAGAAATATTTTAAATACTTTAGTGCAATAAAAAAATGCTATCAGCCAAGAGTCGCAACTTTCACGTAAAATTATTTTTATAAAAGAACTCGATGACTTCCAGTGATTTAACGTTCGGCTTAAAACAGATGACAAAATTTCAAAAACTTTGGCTAGAGAATAATTTATATTTAGATTCAAGTATATATTTCAAGCAATTTTTATAAAAGCTGTGCTGTTTGTGCTGTTGAAAACATTATTACATAAGTAGATATAATTAGTGGTTCATACAATTAAAAGCTGTAGTAACTATAACTCATCTACGCTAGTAAACAAGTGTAAATTTAACGCAGTGACTTATAATAAAAAAAATTTTAATTCGGGACCCATTAAAGCTGTTCACTTCGTACCCATATGGGCCTAAAATGAGGCGCTGACTAGGAAGGCTGTTTAAAAAGTATATTATAAATAAAAACATAATTGAAAATTCTAATTTAATATTTATATTAAACCGTTTTATTAAATTTATAATTTTTGAAAACAATTGAAAGTTGAAATTTTTAATATTGAAAAAATGAGGACATTAAGAGTTTTAATGTTATTTTACAGTAAACGTCTTGACCATATAATGAGTATCCAGTAAGTATATAGATCAATGGTGTACAATAAATCTATGAAATTGATTTATTTTAACACTTTTTTTTATTTTTTTTTATTTTTTTGCTATAAATATTGCTATATATACAGCAAGATTGAAAATATTCAAAATTTATTAGGGTAGGTAATTACTCCCCCAAAACAACACTGACGACCGCACACTAAATCATTAAGCTATCAGTGTTGTGCATTTAGGAGAAAAACAAACTTAGTTATAAGCTCTAGGTATACGGAAAAGGTGTGCATGTTAATTTTTTTGTTCCTATAGCAATTTTTTGAAAATGATTTTTTTACGTAAAAAAATTTAAGTTAAAAAATAAAAGGTATAGAAATGACCGGTGTGGAGTAAATGAGTATAAAAATACTAGGTTTGCTAAAGACTAGTTTTTTATGGGTTTGTAAAGCTAGGATATATACATACATATAAGGAAAAAGTATAAAAACGTGTTGTAAAGAATTGACTTACATAGACCCGTATTTATACCTGTCAGATCAGCTAGTATATGGGTCACTACATGCAAAGTTAAGCAAGTTTTTACGAGTTTCTTTATGGACAAACATGCTTTTTGCATATATATCTCAAACTTTATGAAAACATGTAGAAAGCATGTTTTGCAACGTTTACACAACGTCGGGCCAATGTTGTATAAACATCGGTCCAACGTTGTATACAACATTAGCCTAATATTATATGTAACATTAGAGCAATATTTTATACAACGTTAGTCAAATGTTTGTTAAAATTATCTCGACACTAAATTCAACAACAAATGTTGTATATTGGCCCAACGTTTTATGCAATATTAGATCGTTGCAACAAATAGTTGATTAGTATCTCTACATTAAAATTTATAATGAATTACAAACAAATATGTATGGTATAAGTATAATAATTTTTTTATTTTATATAATTTCTCTGTTAAACATACATATTGCCAATACTAGACATAAACTAACACATTAAGTTTTGAATAAAACAATTCCCTACAAAACTTTTGAGTAGTTTCGACATTACCTAAGCAATTTGTTATTGAAATGTAGCTAATGATATATGGTACCCACGACTATCAGCTTTTTTTTAACTATCTCATCACATGCTGCCTAAGCCATGCTCTTTTGACTTCACAGCTTCTGCAAAAAAATTAGTTTTTTTTTAATTATGCACCAAAGAAACAATAAATTAATAGTATTATAAAAAGTATTATAGTAAAAAGTAAGTAATATAGTAAAAAGTATTAAAGTAACTGTATAATGTAAAATTGAAACTGAAAACATTAATTATCAAAACCGCTTACCTGTAGCGAGATGTACAATTAACATTTATCCTATTCCGATTATTAATTTAAAGCTAGACCATTTTTAAAAACCATTCTTAGTAAGTAACATATACAATCTCCTTTGTCTTAAACTCCAATTTGTCACAAATAATCAACTTGCAAAAACACACAACCTGGCAATAATTAAAATTAATTTTTGCTAGACTTAAGTTAATATAAAGTTTGATTTAAAAAAAACCTTAAAAGAGTATTTTTTTTGAAGAACTCAATTTGTATAAAAATATCATGCGAAATGCATAAATAGATCATAAAAAAATATTTACCATATGCACAAGTATTTTCTTGTCTTATAGTTTTTCTTCTAGAGTACTTAAAATCTCTACTTCTTTTTGTGGCAATGATACTCTGCCAGATAAATTATTAATTGGTATGTCTGTTATTCTTTCTAAATTTTCTTTAAATTAAAAATGATGTGTTTTGTAACTCACCAAATTGTGCATCAATTCTTGCCAATTGTGCCAATAAAACGTGCATATATTTAGCAATAAAATATTATCTTGAAAACTAATGATAATCTTAAGAAACTTTACCACAAATAACATATAATATTCAGAATATATGAAAGAAAATACAACATTCACTTATAAAGCAAACAAAAATTAACACATAGGGACAAAATTTTAATGATAAAAATATTTATTGATAAAAATATTACATTTTTATGAACTGTGGAATTTGCCGGGGTGCATTCAATTTCTGGCACTAACACAAAACAACTCTCGTAAACGTTTGATATGCAGACTGTACTGTTAAATAAAAAAAATCATATTAAAATAACGTATTTCTAATTGATGTAAAAATATTTTTTGCTTAGACCAACTTCGAAATATGGATTTCGAAGTTGGTCTAAGCTTTGATAAGTTGATTATTGCACAATAAAATGTTCATTAACACACTGACTTTTTGACCGTTATATATAAAAAGGTCTTTAAAATAATGTAAAAGTTAAAGCTATGAATAAAGAATCCGAAATCCAACTATCAAAAAAAAATGTGTTTGAATTAAAAAGTACCAGTTGTTTAATTTTGTTTATTCAACTTCTCAAAGTAAACATTTAACTTCTGCAAAGAGTTTGGAGTCGCAGATAAATCCCAAAGTTTGTAAATATGTTTTGTATTATTATTTGAAATTAAGAATCCTAATATAATTCTTCCAGTTAACGTTTAACGTTAAATGCGCATGGTTACGTCTATTGTTCAATCTTAGTTACGGTTCTGTATTCGGTAAAATATTCGCAAATAGTTTCCAATATACTTCCGAGGCAAGCAATGAACAAGGTGTCAGCTTTTATATTTAAAAAAAAAAGTTTAACTTTAATAATAAAATTAAGTTGTATTTACTTTTAAAATGTTTGTATTAGATTTTGTATTTGTTTATGCTTTAACCATTTTCCATTTTGTTTACTTTGTTTTTGCATTGTATTGCAAAACTTTTGAGGTAAGAAAGAAAACATTTTTATATATGTAAATCATTTTTTTACAATATATTACTTTCGTAAAAGGTCTTTACAAACTTAATCACAAACTTAAATATTCTTAATAAAAAAAAACTCTACTCACCTGGCCATTATTAAAGCTCAAAGAAGGGAGGAATCTCTTTAATAGTGTCAGAATTTTGAAAAACTTAAAATTCGAGTAACGAAAGGAATTTTTAGTAAATGATAGCAAATTACCGTTTACTGAAAATTAATGAAATAAAGAGGCCAAAACAACAACATTAAAATGGTCTGTGTTGAGTAGACTTAACAAAACCCGGATTCGGTCAGCTTATCTGTTGCAATTTTATTTTAGGTTTGTCATATGACGCATTAATGCAATATAAAAGATCAAAGTTTACATATTTTTTTAAATTTGTTATACACGTGTTTAATTGTAAATATATATTTTTTTGTTTGAAACGTATTTCAACTCAGTTGCTTTGTTATTTATTATAAACTTAGTTATTTTTAATAAATTTATTTAGTTGTGTGCATTTAATGTTTTTTCGTTAACATTTTTCTTTTCTAAAGAAAAATTAATCAAGGGGATACCAACAAGTTGATAACTCCTGTATAAGATAAGTTAACTTTATTTTAATCTTAATAATTAATTAAAGTTCATGCTATAAAAATTATTACAAGCATTTAGTTAATAGTTTCGTCAATTTGAAGCATGATGAAGTGTTATTATTTTGTGTCACCACCTTACCCACCTCTAAATCAAGCAGATAACTTTTATTTAGGTTAATGGTCTGATGAAACATATTCATTTTTTGTGTTTTAAGTTTTTTAATTTTTTTTAAAAAATATTTTATAATGAAAAAGATGTTCAGTTCCAAACGAGTAAGGTGATGGTTAAAGTTTAACATAAATTGGTGGCCCACTCTTACAACTATCTTTTGATACTAAGTTATTTTTTTTTTTGATAAAAGTTGACAAAATTATGACAATTTATGTAGAGAAAAACATTAATTTGACAAGAGATTCTTTAAGAAATCTATATATCGGAAAATCTTACTTAAACCATCATAACTTTTAAACGAAAAGTTAAGTTTAGATAATTTTTTTACCATTAAAATACTGCATTGATCTTCTATCTAACATTAAAGTTGAAACAGTTTGAATTTTTTATCTACATACTTTACATAAATTTACATATTAACGAATAAAAATCTTTTTTTTTTCATGTTTTATTTATAAAATAAATATTAACTGAAAATAAAAAATTAATAGAAAATTCCTAAGTGAACTAAGCCTTAAGTAAAGTTACTAAAGGCTAAATTCAGAATCAATGTGACTGTCAAAAGAATTTTTGTTCATTAATCCTTTTAATTTTATGCAATATATGTATGAAAAAGTAAATGTTATCAAAATATATTATTGATAATACTGTTAAAAAGTCTAAAAGAAGTGCATAAATTAACCTTAAGTTTCAGAATTTATCTGAACACTGTGTATTAAAAGACGCTACGCGGGAGAATAACTAACAATTGTAACTAGGTGTATGAAGCAGTTACAAAGCGCATTTAATTAATAACTTACAAATTATCTAAAACAAAAAAAAATACTTTTATGTTATAAATAAATTTTAAAGTAATATTAATATTATGAATACAAAAAATACAATTAAATTAAAAAACTAACAATAAAGTAAAATAATATTTCAAGTTATATTTGTTACTAGGTATGTTCACGTTTAAACCGTTAAGTAAGTCAGTAAATTGCCCAACAAATCCTAATCGTTTTAACTAACTTAGATATTTAACTTAGATATTTCAAAAATAACCGATTACACATTAGTTTATTCTATTTGATCCAATTACTTAAAATGTCAATATAACCATTATAAGTAAGTGTATAAATTATGCCCTATAAACATTATATTACATAAAATTAGAATTACTAGGGCAGAAGCAATTACAGTTTACATACAAATCACAGTTGTTAAGTGTTATATTATAATATGATTTATAACTATGTTTTATAGAGTATTAATGAAAACATAGACAACTATATATTTTATAATGTATATACAAATATATAATTAAATATATATATATATATATATATATATATATATATATATATATATATATATATATATATATATATATATATATATATATATATATATATATATATATTATATATATATATATATATATATATATATATATATACAAAGCGCGGTATAATTTTTTTCGTTTATTTTCAATGTGCTGTATATTTTTTTGACCAATCCGTGCTTATATAAAGTTACTCCACGCAAGCGCAGTAAGTATATTAAATAATAATAATAATAAAGGTGGCTGATTTGGATGGGTTAGATGGAAGTGTTGTGTTAAAATCACGAAAAAGAAAAAAACAATGTTCTGCAAGAGAGAAAAAAAAGTTATTTAGACATTCAAGTGGAGGAAAAATTCCTTCTATATCATGTAATCATGTTTACTGCAAAGTGAGTCTTTTTTGGTTTTATCGATCTTCGTATGCTGAAATTCATAATTCAGTTATAAGTTTAAAGTTTTAATATAAACAATGTAAAAATAATTGGCATAGTTTGTGTTTATGGCGAAATAATCATTTGTTGATTGACTTATTTCAGGCTCGAGATATAACACAGGATATTTTGCTTAAACATCATACAGAATTCTATAATATTGCAAGTAAAGTATCACAAGATGTTACCATATTGTCAATGCTTAATATAATCAATGTTAAAAGAGTCAGAGTGAAATATAATGATCGAAAAAAGTTAAGAACTATGAGTATTGATTACTTTTTTATTATGCTGCGAAGGAATTAAAGTACGAGTCTGCCAAGCTTCATTTTGTTCAGTATTGTGTAAGTATAAAATTACTTTACTTTTAATTCAGAAATATAATGTATATTTTGTTAAAAAAATATTAGTGTGAAAAAATTAATATTATATTAATTTATTCCAGCCATAAAACCTGATAGAGTTTTAAGAATTGCAAGACACTGGAATGAACATGGAACAACCAGACCTGAAAATAGAAAAGGAGACAGGAAGAAAGTAGCCTTTTCTCAAAAGAAAGAAGCTATTATAAACCATATTCAGTCTTTTACTTGCAGAGCAAGTCATTATGGAAGAAAAGGTGCTCCAGGACGTAAATATTTGCCCTCTGATTTATATGTAAAGCGGATGCACGAATTTTTTTTGGATAAAAACAATACTTATACTGTAGGCTAAAATTGTTATTATGGGGTATTTATGAACCATTTCAATTTAGCTTTTGATTACCCAGCAACAGATACATGCTCTACATGTCAAACATATAAGTTGGCTATGAAAAACCAAAATATTACTGATGACCAAAAAAAATTAAAAACTGCTCTTTTCATTCTTCATCGAAGGAAAGCCAGAGAATTATATAGTCTTCTCAATGATATTCATCCCAATGAGATCACTATCTGTTTTGACATGATGGAGAATCTTGTACTACCAAAATTATCAATTGGAGAAGCCTACTATTCTGGGTAGGTTTATTTTTATGTCCTTGGCGTTGTTATTTATAAAGGTGATAAGTCTCAGTCTGTTAACGATATATATTTTTTTACTTGGATGGAGTGTGAAAAGAGGAAAGATTCAAACATGATTTGTTCAGCTATAGAACATCTAATTAAATATGTTTTAAAAGATAAATGTTTCAATGCCTCATCACTTCGGTTGTTTTCTGATGCATGCTATGGCCAGAACAAAAACATAAATATGACATGTATGCTTCTTGCTCTAAGAAAACAATATTTTAATAACCTGCAGATAACACACACTTTTCCGAAACGAGCTCACTCATATCTGCCAGCTGATCGTGTGTTTGGTCGAGTTCAGCTAGATATTAAGAAAAGAGACCAAATTTTAGAGCCTAATGAATACATAAACAGACTTAGCCGGCATGGAAAAGTCATGGTTTATGGGCAGGATTGGTCAGCACTCAACATCAAATCAGAAGTCAAAAAGTTTGTCATGAGCAAAAAAACATTTAAAATCAGTGAAGCTAAAAAACTTGTTATTAATTCAGACAAGCTAGAAGTAGTTGCATTTAGTTACCATTCTGAGCCAAAATTACACAGTATCCTTAAAAAAGGGAAGAAATAGGAAACATTTAGACCACAGCGTTTGGAATTAAATAACTGTGTTAAACTTGCTAAGAAAGACGATGTTTTTCGTCTTCTCGGTCTTGTAGGAGTAGAAGGTAGAATACTTACTATGTATAAAACACTACTCTGTAATGCCACTGAAGATGATACTAACCTTAGTAAAGAAGATAGTTCATAATTTGGTTTAAATGTTTTTTAGCTGTAAATTTTGTTAACACGTTTTAGTTAATATACAAATGTTTTAAAAAATCTCCAGCATAACATGATTTATTTTGTTGTTTTTTTAATTTATGTTATTAAATACAAGAATACAATAGTCATTAACACCTTATATATTTTTATAGTTGCATTTGTGAATTGTTTAAAAAAAATTGCTGATTTATATCAAAAGAGAACATGATTTTAAGGTAGATCTTAGAATGCATAACAAAATAATACGTTTTATTAATAAATATACTTTATTAATGAAATGGATATAAAGCGTTTTGTTAATAAATACTACTTGGGTATACAACGTTTTGAAACAAAACGAAAATAACCACTGAAAATATACATCGATTTCATAAAGTTTGATTTCAGCATATATTGTAGTCTTATTAATAAAGTACATGTTTAACGAAATCAATAATAACTTATTCCAAAATACTTAATTTCTTTATGCAGAAAAAAAGATCGATTTACTCAAAAACCAAAAAATGGATTCATAGCGTTTTCAAAATGAGCTCTTCATATATATACGTATATATATACATATATATATATATATATATATATATATATATATATATATATATATATATATATATATATATATATATAAATATATATATATATATATATATATATATATATATATATATATATATATATAAATATATATATATATATATATATATATATATATATATATATATATATATATATATATGTATACACACACACTCACACACACATATATATATATATATATATATATATATATATATATATATATATATATATATATATATATATATATATATATATATATATATATATATATATATATATATATATATATATATATAAAATATGTGTTGTTGTTAAAAATAGATTTTGTAATTAAATTTTTTTTCTTAGTTTTATATAATAAAGATTGTTAAAATATAATTCAAAACATAAAATAAATCAGTAGTCTTAAATAAAGAATTATCGTGAATTGTATTAACTTCGAAACATTGTAATAAATTATCAAGTACGATTTAAAATAAGAGAGAATATATTGTTTGACAAAATATGAAACTAAAATGTTTGTTTTAAACATCCCATTTAAATCTTCTAATCCAAGTACTGTCTGTCAGGTTTTTGAAGTGTAATCCATCTTGGTTTCCTAAAAAACATTTGCCTTTCTTAGAATGATAAAACAAAAAATTGAACGCAGAGCATTATCTTTTAAAATAAATGTTTACCCATCCACTGCTTTGTACCAAACGATAAGTTATATTCCACATCTTCCTTATATGGCTTTATCTTTGACAAATCAAGATGATTTACAATATTATTTTTAAACTCATTATTTGTTACAACCAACCATTTTTTAAATAAATTATGAAACATTAAGTATAACTTTTGGTTTCTGTGTATTGCATATAACTCTCTTTTTGAAGTATGATGTCCGAGAACTGCTCCAATGCGCACATCCATTGCTTAAATTAGGAGACAAACACAAAATTAGAAAAACATAACTTAGAATCTTTTAGCCAACAATTATATACTTTTAAAAAACAAACTATAAAAACAAATAACACCGAGTATAGATAAACCAGGAGTAAAAAATTAACCTTGCCAAGACAAGCCATCATCTTTTGAAGAAAAGCATGTAGGTTTTTGAAAACTGCAACAAAAATATACAAATATATAATAATAATGAACAATATGCAATTTGAGTTTGACTTGTGATTCTAAGCAAACATTTTGTATAAATACCTTTTTATTAAGTAATTATAAATAATAAACTTTACCTAAGTATTAAATTAAAATAAAATAGTCTAACAAGATAATTATTTTACTTTTACTTTATTATTCAAATATTTTTTCGTGCATGCCTTTAAAAGTTTATCAAAATTTTTTGTAAAATAGAATTTCTTAATCCATATGTTTTTTTTTGTTTATTATATTGCTGTGAAAATATATAGAATCCTATGGATAATTTACGTAAACAATTAAGAGAATTCTGCAAAGTCCCTTGAGATATTCGTAAATCTAAAATTTAATTTCAAATACGCAGTTCCGTTATCTATATAAAATAAATAAATGCAAAATTAGTAATTTAATAAATAAAACATCTATTGTTATGAATAAAAAGTAGCGCTTATTAACTTAGACATATTCATTTAAAAGCTAGAAAAAAATTATTATTTCTTTTTGCAAAAAAATTTTATCGTATGTTTTTTTTTTTTTTTAATAATATTTAACTTTAGAACACAAAAAAATAATCTAATGATCAAAAAACAGAAAGATAGCAACATATATTAAACAAAAAAGAGATAGATAAATATAAAAAATTACCAATTGAATTTACCTATTTCTAAAATTAATTTATTATTCATATAATTGAAGGACTTTTCGTAAGAGTATTTTCCTTATATTATATATATATATTTGTTGAATTGTTCGGTTTAACTTAAAAACAATATTTCTTTTCTTCTAATCGCTTATTATTGTCGTTCATTTATATAATATATGAAACAATAAGTTAGAAGGATACCATAGGTTAATTTGTTACGTCTTACTAAGGCAAAATGTTACGTTTTGTTAGGTATTATTTTGCACTTAACGTTACGTTACATTCTTACATATTGTCATCCTACAAGGTTTTGCCTCGGTTACGTGAAAATATCAAACATAACAATATTGCACGTAACGTAACGAATCTCGTTAATGTTACGATAGGTAACATAACTTAAAGTTTAATCAGGGCATGTTTTTACAAACCGTCATTAACAAATTTGTCATTAAAATTGAATATATAAAACCTCTTACTATATTTTTAATATTAAAATCATACTTAACCGTTCTACGTTTGAACGCTATAATGGTTATTTTTTCGAACTCTTTTTCTTTTGAAAATTTTAAGTTCTATGGTAATATTTTTTTGTTTTGAATGCAAATAAATTTTAAGGTGAGAAACATTTATGGCTTAAATTAATGAGTTTTTTCTATGCACAATTTGCATTTCTTATATATTTTATTTTCAGTCACTTAAAAAGTTGTTTTACTCGTTTGATTTGCATTTTACTCTATATGCAGCTTAAATTTTATATATATATATATATATGCAGCTTGAGTTATATATATATATATATATATATATATATATATATATATATATATATATATATATATATATATATATATATATATATATATATATATATATATATATATATAGCTTGAGTTATATATATATATATATATATATATATATATATATATATATATATATATATATATATATATATATATATATATATATATATATATATATATATATATATATATATATATATATATATATATATATATATATATATATATATATATATATATATATATATATATTATATATATATATATATATATATATATATATATATATATATATATATATATATATATATATATATATATATATATATATATATATATATATATATATATATATATATATATATATATATATATATATATATATAGATATATATATATATATATATATATATATATATATATATATATATATATATATATATATATATATATATATATATATATATATATATATATATATATATATATATATATATATATATATATATATATATATATATATATATATATATATATATATATATATATATATATATATATATATATACATATATATATATATATATATATATATATATATATATATATATATATATATATATATATATATATATATATATATATATATATATATATATATATATATATATATATATATATATATATATATATATGACTAGATCCCCTTATAGTTGACAAATCGGGTGAAAAATTTCCACGAAAAGTCGACTTGAGTGGAAAGTCGACAAAATCGAGTCGACCTAACGTTTTTCATTGTATTTTTATCAAAATCAGTCTTTCTTTCAAGTCTTTTTGCCATTTTTTAAGAAAATTAGCAGTTTTTGAATAAATATACAAGTTTGCTTGTATTTAAAAGCCGTTGATGAGTACTTTATTCAATTTGACATTTAAGGGTTATATATCTTAACAAATTCAAAATACCGACGTATTGTCGACCGCACAGAATATCTTCTAAATCATGGCATTTAACTGCATATATCATGTTATTATGGAGCTTAAAATGTTTACTCATTTATTCGTTTGAATTTTCTATAGTTTTTTGTTAAATATCAATCGTAGTACAACATATATATGAAACTTAGGAGATATGCAAATTCGTTCTGATAAATTTCATTTTTTCTCACGTTACAAGCGAATTTCTTTACCACGCGGAAAGATTTTCCCGGAAACTTTTCTTTTTTTATCAATGTTTTGTTTTGAATTTTATAAAAAAACAAAGGTTTTTATTTTTATTTTGGACACAACCTTTGAGAATTCTATTTCTTAACCATTATATACTTTTTAAAATATATGAGAGCTTTTATTTAGGAATTATGATTGCAAAGTAGAATATTTAACTGCTTATTAGAAGTCAAATAAAACAGCAGTACAAGGCTGTATCTAGATATTATTTATTATATATCTAAGATATATTTATAAATATATATTTATTAGTATATTATAGATACATATTAACAGTTTACTGTTAAAACGCTATTATACAGTTACTATTATACTGCCTTATTATTATATAGCCATGTTATATAGACATTTATTTATATCTATAATGTACTAATAAATATATATTTATAAGTATATCATAGATATATAATAAATATATATATAACTGTATAATTTATATACTTTTATAGATATACACAATATAAAATTTATACAGCCTTATTATTATATAGCCATGTTATATAGACATTTATTTATATCTATAATGTACTAATAAATATATATTTATAAGTATATCATAGATATATAATAAATATATATATATAACTGTATAATTTATATACTTATATAGATATACACAATATAAAATTTATATGTAAAATGTTAACTAAATTATTGTTAACTCGTTATAGCTGCTTCTTTTGATGACTTTAATACCTCTTGTAAGAGTTGATAAGTGGGTTTTTTCTGTTTCATTTATTATACGCAGGTAAATTATTATCAGCATAACTGTGATATAACTGTGATATAACATGATATAACTGTATAATTTGTTATCAGCAATTTCTAAACATCTAAGTTTCATAATTCATAAAATTTTCAAGTTTTACAAAACATTTTTTATTATTTCCTTGGAAAAAAAAAATTTATTAAATATAATGACAACTTCAATATTTGTTAAAATAATTATTCATTTAATTTTATTAGTTATTCAATTTAAAACAATTAATAATAATTCAGAACTAAGAATGTTTACATCATTGCCAGTTCATTCGTCAGACTCTGACTATTGGAAAAAGTTAGTTGTCTTTGATTCAGGTAATCTTATTTCAAAGTCTCAAAATATCTAAAACAATTTTTTTGAAATAATGAGTTGATATTTTTTCCAACATGATTATTTTTCATTTTGTATAATTTGAGTAAAATGTGTATATGTAGATGAAGATCAGTGCAGTAATGAGAGTGAAGTTTTTCTTCCATTATCCCTTGGTCCATTAAACCAGGTTTTTAGAAAGTTTTTAGCTTAAAAGTATTGTGAATTTTAGATTAAGATTAAATGACTTTGTGTAAAGCTTTTTAACATAGTACTTTCTTAATTAAATATTTCATATATCATATTTAGAAATCTATTATTAACGATTCTGGTTTAATGTGCGATGAAGACCTTGAAATTTTTGAAAGTGGAGAAGAGACAGATGACTGTAGCACAAATCATGAAATTGATTTTGTTGTAATAATGTTTTTTTAAGTTTGTTATTATAAGTCACAGTTTATTTTCAATAAATTTTTTATTAAAAATTTTTTAAGTTAAATTGAAAGATCTGCTTTAGAATAAGTTAAAATTTTGATATAATTTTGTACAATAAAAGTTTAAAAAAGCAATTTTAAGTGTGAAAAATGGTATGCGAGACTCAGCAGCTGTAGAATTGCTAACAAAACTAGAGGTGTACCAGATACTTTTGACGGATATGCCTGATATTAAACTTTTTAAAAGTTATTTAAGTGTTTATGAAGAAAAAACAAGTCTTGCCAGTCTACAATAAATAGTATTCAAGAACTTACTTAAAAAAAATCAAGAATAAAACTGTTTGACATGGGGTATGTACTAAAGAAGTATAGAAAATAAAAAATAATAAAAAAAAAACAACAATTTGGCTGTAAAAACGATTTTTCCTTATACATTATCAACACATATACCTGTGTTATATCAGTTTTTTTTTGATTTTATCATTTTAAATCATAAACACTTTTTAATGTAAAATGGCAAGTTTTTTTTTTCAAGTAAAGCAAACTTTTCAAAATAGATTAAAAAAAAAAGTAAACTTTAATTAAAAAAATTAATATTGAATAGTATCTATGTTAATAGTTATCTATGTTTTTCACTGTTATTTGTTATTTTTTTTAAGTCTCATGCTTTGATAAAAGATACAAATAAAGTATTATATGAAGATTTGTTAACTACAGAACCTTCTAAGTCAAACAACAGCTCATCTGATTAAAAGGTTGAGTTTTTTAAAATTTGGTTGTAAATTCAAAAGAAATGTATGTACATCCTAAATTTGGATGTTTTAAAGTAATAATAAATACATTTTTAGTAGTGTTTACTATCAAGTTATTTATTAATAATCAATTTTATTTGTTTTGTTTTTTGTTAGTCTTATTTTATTGCAGTTAGTGGAAATTTTCGTTTGATTTTAAGTTTAGTTGTTAATTTTTTTTCATATACTATATAATAATAGTTATTATTTATTATTTAATGTTATTATGTTTAGTTAATTCATTTGTTTTAAGGTTAGATAACTAAACAATTCACATGTGAGACCAAAAAACAAAATCAATAAACTATCTAAAAAAAGTAATCCAAAAACAAAGCGACCTTGTTTTATATGTGGTGTGCATCAATCAGCACTTTCAAGACATTTTCTAACACATAAAAGTGATCCTAGAATATGTGAGGCTTTTAAATTGTCTAAAATAGAGCGTCGTAAAGCATTTGATTCTTTTAAAAAACAAGGGATTCATCAGTTTAACTTAAATGAAGTCCAAAACAGTAATCCAAAGTTTCTAAGGGAAAGAGCACAACGTTCCAAAAAAAATATGCAATCTGAAAAATTCTTAAATTCAAACAACTTGCTAATGTGCTTAAAATGCAAAGGTTTCTTTGCAAAGAGTTATAAAACCAGACATCAGATAAAATGCGGTGAAGATTCTTGTCAAGCCTTAATACCATCTATTGCAATTGGGGAAATAGATAAATATAATTCTTTAGACAATGATTTCAAGTTAAATATTTTAAATGTCATAAATAAAAATGAAATCGGCACGCTAGCTAAAAGTGATAGCATTATTTTGATGATAGGATCTCGCTTGTATGGTAAAATTAAAAGAAGGTTTGATAAAAAGTTGGAGGTTGAGAAATCGGTTAGGTGCTCAATGCGCCGGCTTGCCAACATTTATAATAGATTTACAATTGAAAGAACAGAATATCCAGCTAAAATGTTAGCAATTGGGCAAGGTAATTCTGGTGATATGTTTTTGAGAGGAAATATTGACTATTTAAAAAAAGCAATTGAAAATTATACCGGTAAAGGTGAAGATAAGGTAAAATCTGGTTTAAAAAGTGGCATCTATTATTTACTTAAGGACTCAGCTGAGAAATGTATGGGATATTACTTAAAGACAAATCGTGATGATTTGTCTAAAGAAGTTTCAAATTTTTTGTACATATTTGGGCTTATGAAAGATGAAATTGTTTAAGACGCTGTTTATGATTTAAATAAACGTAGAAACGAAAAACATAAAAAACCTGCACAGCTTCCAATGGAAGAAGATATTCAAACTATAAGAAATCATATTGTTACTACTATGGAAAAACTGACTAGCGAATATGAAATAATAGATAGACCTTCCTTTATTCAATTAAGATACTGTGCTTGTGCTCGATTAACTATTTTTAATGGCAGGCGTGGTGGTGAACCTGCAAGACTAAAAATTAAAGAATGGGAAAACGCTTTGAATAATGTATGGCTAGACAAACAAAGAATAAAAAACACACTATCTGAAAGTCAATTAGAAGATAGGATGAAAATTACTTATCAGTCTGGGAAAGGGATTAATCATTCAGTCCCTGTTTTAATTGCAACTGATGCTGTTGAAGCAATGAAGTTGTTAGGTTCTGCCGATATTAGAACTCAGGCTGGAGTTTCAGCAAATAACATTTACATTTTCCCAAGTACACAATTTTCACTTTATCACTGCTCTGGATGGCATAGTCTAAAAAATATAATCAAGCAACTTAACTTAATAGATGAATCAAAAGTTACTGGTACAAATAATCGCCATCGACTCTCTACACTAGTGGCTGGTTTAGGAGTTTCAGATGCCCAAATGAGTTTGGCATATGATCACTTTGGGAACAGTGAAACAATTAACAAGACAATAAATCAAGCTCCGGCAGCTCATCGACAGCTTCTTTCAACAGGAAAACATCTTGAAGCTATTGATCAAAATTCCTGTATGTATAAATATATTTTTAATTTGTTTGAATAATTTTTTTAAAGAAATGTCAACCCAAAGCAAAAGTTATTTTAATTTTATATTTATAAATCTTTTTTTTTTTTAGTAAAGCAAGATTTAAAAAAAACAATAAATATTGATAAAAAAGAACAGAAAAATCGACTTGTAGAAAAACAAGAGAAGCCAATAAAACTAGCTAAAGTTTTTTTAACTAGATCTAAGGCAAAACTTGAGGCTAGTGTTGGAAGTAGCACTCCAATCAGTTTGAATAAACAAGGTATGAATCTTATTTAAATTTTTAGTTATCTAGTATATTTTTTATTTATTGTAAATAATGTTTTATTTGTATTTTAAATGATTCCTTTATACTGAATATTTTTATTTAGTAATAATAATTTTTTACTATTACTCTGTACTCTAGTTCCAGAAATTGCAAATGAAAGTCTTGAAAATCATTCTTCTACTGAATATGAAAGCAATTCAAGCGAATCGGAGTTTGAATTTAAAACTAATGTTAACCAAATTAATAAAACTAAAAAAAGTTTTGTCTCAGGTATAACTTTTATTGCACAAGTCAAAGTTTTGTAATTTATATCTGTATTACTTATTTTAAGTTATTTTTACTTATTTTAAAGACTTTAATTTTAATGGTCGCATTAAATTAAAAAAAAATGATTTATTTAAGATTACATTAAACTAAACATATCATTAAAAAAAAAATTCTGTAGCTGCTGAAGTGGAGGTGTTAAATGTGTTATTTCCCTGCCCCCACAATTTAAAAGTAGAAAAGAGAACCTAATAATGAAATGATTATCCTTATTTATAACCTTGGATTAGCTCCCTTACTATAAATATCAACTGATATTTAAAGTGGGGAAGCCAAATTAGTTATTTTCATATTTTTTTGTTATTAACAGTTTTTTATTTTTTTTTTTTATTTTAATTCACCTCCTCAAGGCCGACAAGGCCTATACAGACGAGGAGGCTACTTATTTGTGGCTATGACTCTCTCTCCACTCTATAACTCCGAAACACGAACCTTGACGAACAAGCCCGCTGCGCGGAGAAACGTTATATAGTTATACTTATTTGAGCACAGAAAGCAAGAAAATATTTAAAAACAAACAATTTCTTATTTTCTATATAATAATTAGACAACTTTCGATTATTCAAGTTTTAATAAATGTGTTTTAAACTTTCATTTTATTGTATCGAGTTTACGTTCAGACATAAGCCCAAATGAAAGGGTAAAATTTGGGGCATTTGAGGCAATTAGATATATGTGCAATCTTTTAGGTTTCGTGGGTGGCTGTAAAAGTTATATAATATATATTTAGGTCGTAAATATAACCAATGGGATAACGAAAATGAGAGTGCGTTTTTTCAAAGGTTTATGGAGTATGTTAGTTCAAATATAGGATATCCAAGTAAGTGTATATTAGACAAGATTTTTATTTAAGATTTTCATCAACTTATCTTTTTAATTATCATTTTTAGCAATTAAGGTTGAAATAAGAAAAAACATATGTTAAAAAATTTAATAAACATTTTTTGATATTTATTACTTTTTGCAAGGTTAAAAAATATTACAAAATGATTCTTGTTTTACTTTTGATTTAAGTAGAAATATTTGTATCTTTATTTTCAAATATAGTAATATTTTATCTATTATAGGTCGACATGAAATGACTGAATTTGAAATAAAATACGGGTTTGGCTACGGTACAGTTAGAAATAAAATCACTAACGAAAGAGCAAAAAAGATGCGAATCGTCTCCCAAAGAATAAACGATATTCAAATGTAATTGAATAGAATTTAAAACAAAAATCAGACTTAAAAACATTTTTAAATATAAAAAAGATAATTCTTAAGCCACGGTGATACTTGTGTTACAAAAACAGGCATTTTTTCTTTATACCGGCCCTTGTGTTTATAAGAATTATTATCCAGAATAACCACTTTTTTTTATTGTCGACTTTAGGAAGATATAATAAAAAAAAAGGGTAAAGTCGACTTACAACAAAAAAAATTTGCTCGAAAACGTTAAGTCGACTTAATATTGAAAATCAAATTAAAGTTATGAAATATAAAATTGCCAAGAGAAAAAGAAGCCATTCCTTTGATTTTCGACAAAAAAAAAATTAAAATTGACAATGTTAGACTGATTTTTGCAGTGTCGACTTTCCGCGGGTATTTTATTGCTGTCGACTCTAAGATCATCTAGTGTTATATAGTTATATATATATATATATATATATATATATATATATATATATATATATATATATATATATATATATATATATATATATATATATATATATATATATATATATATATATATATATGTATATATATATATATATATATATATATATATATATATATATATATATATATATATATATATATATATATATATATATATATATATATATATATATATATATATATATATATATATATATATATATATATATATATATATATATATATATATATGCAGTTTCTTAGTTAAATAAAAAATAAAAAAGGTTTCTCAATTTTCAATCTAAACATTCGAAGTATTAATAAAAGTTTTGATAATCTAAAATTTTTATTGCATGATCTAAAACACGATTTTAAAATAATTAGTCTCACGGAAACGTGGTTGAAAAGAAATGAAATAAATTCTAATTATGAGCTAATTAATTACGTGTCAATTCACCAACCGCGTCAAACCCACGTTGGTGGTGGTTTAAGTATCTATGTTCACAAATCTATAAACTTTATTTTACACAATGATCTCATTGTTAACGAAATAGATTTTGAGTTGTTATGCATTGAAATAAATAATAAGGCAACTAAAAATATTATTACCAATTCTATTGATAGAAAACCAGCTGGTAATTTTAAAAGATTTCAATCTTATTTGAAAAATTTCTTAAGCAAAGTTAACATTACAAAGAAACACGTGTACTTAACTGGTGATTATAATATAAACTTGTTAAACCATGCTTCAAATGTAAATGTTCAATTATTTTTAGATACACTTCTTCAGTAAGATATAATTCCCACAATAAATAAGTCAACGAGAATAGCTAAGACCAGGTCGACATTGTTAGATAATATATTTACTAATAGTTTTCATGATTGCTTTTTAGAATCGGGTATAATCAAAATCGACATAACTGATCATTACCCAATATTCTTAGTTACAGATAATATATCCCTTAGCCATTTTATCTCTAAATCAACAATCTTAATACGACAAATCAATGAAAACTCTTTATTATACTTTCGAAATCTTTTATCTGAAAAAAATGATTTGAACCTTATATTACAATCACAAGACGCGAATAATGCTTATTAACTTTTTTTGGCGCAGTTTTGTAAACACTATGATTTAGCATTTCCAGTACAAAAAAAAGTTGTAAATCCTAATTCACTTCTAAACCCTTGGAATACCAAAGGTTTATACAAATCAGCAAAGAGAAAACAAAGACTTTATGAAAAATATTTAAAACATAAAACATATAAAAATGAAACAAAATACAAAAATTATAAAAACACGTTTGAAAAAACAAAGAAACATGCAAAAAAATATTATTAATCAAGGTTGTTGGAAAAAACACGCGGAAACACACAAAAGACGTGGAACGTGATTAAGCAGATAATCGGTAAAAATAAATATCCAAAAAATAATTTGCCACAAAAACTATTAGTTAACGGGAAAATGATTTATAATAAAGAAGTCATAGTTAAAAAGCTCAAAAACTTTTTCTTGATATTGGCCCAACTTTAGCTGATAAAATTCCAAAAAACACCTCAAACTTTGAATCTTATATGAAATCAATCAATTCATCTATGAAATGAAGTAAAGTTAAACATAAATGAGTTGCGAAATGCATTCAGCTGTCTAAAAAGTAATAAATGCGCTGGCATAGATAATATTAACGTGAATGTTGTTAAAGCAGTGTTTGATATTATTGAACCGTCACTGTTTTACATTTTTAACCTTTCACTAGAATCCGGTATTGTACCGAAGAAATTAAAAATTGATAAGATCATACTTTTTTTTAAATCTGGCGATGACACGATTATGTTTAGTTATAGACCTATTTCTGTCTTACCATGTTTCTCAAAATTATTAGTACGAATTATGTATGATAGACTTGATACTTATTTAACTGAGAACAATATAATGTATAACAAACAATTTGGGTTCAAAAAGAATCATTCAATTGATCATGCGATAGTCGATCTAATAAATTATATATCCAATGGGTTCAATAATGATTGCTATACATTAGGAGTTTTATTGATTTGTCAAAAGATTTGACACTGTAAACCACGATATTCTTTAAAAAAAACTAAAACTGCATGGAATACTTAAAAATAACTTACTATGGTTTAAAAGTTACCTGTCAAACAGAAAACAATGCATATTATATACAGCAAATAAAACTGAAAATCATATTATAACTTGTGGTGTTCCCCAGGGATCAATTCAGGGGGCGCTCTTATTTCTACTCTATATTAGTGATTTATACTTAGCATCCAAAGTTTTAAATTTCATTTTGTTTGCTGATGATTTGAATTTTTTTTTACTCACACAATAATATAAAAGAACTTGTAGAATATCTAACGAAGAATTATTAAAAATAAATGACTGGATTACAAATAATAAACTTTCATTAAATGGTGAGAAAACTAAATTTATCTTGTTCCACAAACCTCGTAGGGGAGACTTTTTTTCTCTAAAATTACCCAATCTCTTAATGAATAAAACAATTATTAAAAGAGAGTCAACTGTTAAGTTTCTAGGAGTGATTATAGATGAAAATTTATCATGGAAATATCATATTAAATCTATTGAAAAAAAAATCTCCTAAAATATTTCAATGTTATATAAAATTAAACCATTTCTTAATATTGAGTCTTTAAAAATTATAAGTTTTTCATTTATTCATAGTTATCTTTTTTATTGCAATATTGCATGGGGAAGTACTAATTATGGAAAACTTATAAAAATCTATAGCAAACAAAAACATGCATGCGGGATTATATTTGGCGTTAATAGAACTGTTAAAGTGTGAATCTCTTCGAAGCGAACTTAATGCACTTAATGTTTATAAAATTAATATATACCAAGTTATGCATCTAATGTTTAAATCAAAACATGGTTTGTCTCCTAAATATATTTCACTCTTACTTCACTGAAATTACTCATAAATACCCCACAAAATTTTCAGTTGATATGTTTGTTATTCCAAGATCTTATTTAAAACTCAGCTCATTTCAAAATTATTACCGTGGACCATTTATATGGAAAAGTTTTTTGAAAAATATTATTAAAAACAAAACTCTTCTAAACTTCTCTCTAGAACAATTCAAAAAAGAATCTTAACGTTTTTTATTAGGAAAAAACTTCGATTTTGAAAATTTCTTTTAAAAATAGTACCTAAAATAATTATACTGAAAAAGTCATCACGACTTTCTTATTTTTGTCTTGATTTATTTCTTATCTATAAATAATATATATATATATATATATATATATATATATATATATATATATATATATATATATATATATATATATATATATATATACCTAAAAAAAATGTTTATTTATATATCTTATTATACGAATTACAACTTGTAATATATTGTGTTGTATTTTGTAATTTTTAACTTGTTACATAAACTGAAGGCAACAATGTAAACGGGGCTTGACGATAAGACAATATACGTCTTCTTCTTGCTCCGGCCATATATTATATATGTACGGTCTTTCTTATTGTAAATTTTCATCAAACGGCAAAGAAAAAAAAAAAAAAAAAAAAATTTTGTAAATAAATTCTTTGAAAAACAGGTTACTACTTAGAAAAAGTCATCATAATGACTTGTTATAAATTGCGTTATCTATACTCGAAGACAAG